TTAAAAGCCAAACCTCTGCGCTATAGACAACATTCGCCTCTTCAAAAATCTTACACAGTTTTGGAAAGGGCTGTCAACCATTTGTTTCTCTCAGTCAACAGGGCGGTGGGGATTATTTTGGCTTTTGTAAGAATTACCCTGTACTTACAACATAAATAGGTCATATACATAAAATAGAGGTGTTATTAGAGAGTAACATACAAAGAAAAGCAGAAAGGATAAATTCGACATACGTTCGATAGAAATGAAGGGGCAAACCACACCACAGTACAGTACCCGCTAACTACCCAAGGCGGGTAGCTACAAGAACTCAAGATGGCATACTTACGGAGAGGAGGTGCCACATATGTGCTAGAGGGATTATGGGAAACAAATATTCGGCAGCCGCCAAATTGGGGAGCTGCGCAACTAACTTGTCAATTTAGCAGAAAAATGTTGTAACTGTTTATTTGTTTGTTGGTTGGTTTTGTGTGTCTCTTTGTTTCTATGTTTGTTTGCTTATACTCGTATGTTTTCATTTAGTGTTGTTTAATTCATTACATAGTGGTCCGGTTGTTTTATTTTTCTGTTTCTTTATTCTCAGAAATCAGACGTGCCAGTATATAAACAGATGGGAGGATACATGATGAGTAACAAGGAGGTGCTAGTGAAGAGTAATGACGAGGGCGTACAGGTACTACTCTTCTCTCTCTCTCTCTCTCTCTCTCTCTCTCTCTCTCTCTCTCTCACACACACACACACACACACACACACACACACACGCACACACTCTGTGTGTGTGTGTGTTTGTCTGTCTGTCTGTTTGTCTGTCTGTCTGTCTGTGTGTCTGTATGTCTTTGCTTATAGTCTGCTGTTGGTGGGACATCTATCTATCTATCTATCTATCTATCTATCTATCTATCTATCTATCGATCTATCTATCTATCTATCTATCTGTGAGTGTGCGTGAGCGTGCGTCTGTGTTTCACAGTGTTTGTCTTGTCTGTCTGCTATATTATGTTGACGTTGTTCTCACAATCTCGGTGGGTGGCTGTCAGGTTCTCTGGTTTGTTTTGCTTTATCTTTAATAATAATTATCCATTATCTATCGTCCTGATATCTCCTCCTACTTTTTTATTTCTATGTTTGTCTCTAATCTTCGGCACCTGACCTTATTATCGTTTTGCAAGCTTCGTAAAATTCTTACTAAAACTAAATAACATTCTCTTTTTACCAAGTGCCTCAACAAGGGAGATAACTGTAGCGTGGAGCACACACCATAATTTGTCATTTGTATACAGAGTTATCTCTCTTGGTGTATGTCACGTTGAAATTCAGTTGATGAACTTCTCGATTATGACAGATTTTCCTGTTGCTCTTTTTTGTAGTTTTGGTTACTGTTTTCAGCGCTCTCTACTGCATAAGGTCCTATGATCTCGCGAGATACATTCAACATTTTTAGTTTTGTCGGAATTAATTTTGGATTTTGCCCGGGTGGTGGCCGAGCCTACTCTCATCGATTTTGAACCACCAAGGGATCTTTAACGTGTGCAAATTGCACACAGGACCTCCGAGATTTTTCGCCCTTCTCCGAGAAGGCTAAGTGTTAGATCTTCCCTACCCTAAGATCAGGGGTGTGACTGAAGAACAACAGTAAGAAGGACCAGCCAAAGAGTAGCAGTAGAAAGGCTATAGAAAGAGTCAGGAGCCCAGAGGATGGCGCAAAGGGGGAAGGGGGGGATGGGGGCAGAAAGTGGAGACGAAAGTAGACGACAGAACGTGGTTATTAGAACCTGAGACTTATCGAAAGAAGGGCGAACACCGTAACCTCTAGGCTGCGAGAGCCCCATCTTGATGTTCGACGTGTTCGATCTTTTGTTGTTGACTGATTGATAGATAGGCCTACTTAATAGAGAATTTTCTGGCTGATTAATTGCTGGGTTTCTTCTTTACTGAATGAATAACTGATTAGGTGGTTGGTGGAACAGCTGATTGGGTAGCTATCATCCCCATCCAGTGCCTTGCAACTGATGTGGGCGATCATGGACCTCCACTTAAATCTGTTTTGCGTTGCAGCGATGGTGTCTGTTGCTCTTGCTGTTCCCAATAATGTTGTCAACTTGTCCTGTATTTTTTCCCTCTGTCCGCATCTGCCTCTCTTCCCTTCAAACTTGCCTGTTGTTACAATTTTCTCCAATGCTTCGTTCCGCATTGTGTGTCCCATGAATTTTGCCTGTCGCTTTCGTATATTCGTCTTAAGCTGTCGTCTGTAATTTGCTTCAACGAAGACTTCTTCATTTGTTTTTCTAGCTGTTCATGAGATACGCAGCATGTGTCTTATGAACCACAACTCTGTCGCCTCAATTGTCCTTTCCAGCTATATTTCAATCTAATCCTGCCTCTCGCCGAATGTGTGTGTCAGCCTGCTGATTGTTTTATTGAACGATTGATTGGGAGTTGATTAGTTGCTAGATTGAGAGGTTGCATATTTCAGGAATTGGTTTCGTGTGTGTGTATGTGTATGTGTGTGTGTGCGTGTGTGTGTGTCTGTGTGTGTGTGTGTGTGTGTGTGTGTGT